CAATGGCCCGTATAGTGATATTGGTGCCCGCGGACGCGTTTCACGAGCATCTGGACGTGGGCGCGCGCAATCACCATCTCCTCGACCTGGGTGAGCTCTGGCAAGCTAGCAGGGACAGTTCCCGGGTCCATGTCGTTCTCTACGGACATCAGGAAGGGCGTTACGGGCCGCTTTCGGTTGTCTGTATCTCGTAAAAAACACCGGTGGCAGACGCCATCCTTAAGGTCCATTAAGAATCCGCGCTCCCAACAGCGCTCGCAGGTCTCGAGCTCCACGTCCGCCATCGCTGCATTAAAGTCTTGTATATACCGCCATTCGTCCGCAGGTAAGAGGCCCGTAGGCTCGGCCGGGCAGTCCGGGACTAGGGCGGGAGGACGTCGCGGTTCCGTAGGAGGGTCGTGTATAGGCTCTATAAGAGGAGGTTGAGGCGGTAGAGTCGTACCTTGCGGACGTGGATTCGAGCGACGGACGCGTTTTATCGGCTGGATATTCGGATCGCGTACTTGTAAGGCGGACCGTTTTTTCCTAGAATTCTCTCTAGCCCTAGCACGGCACGGTACACACGTACTATACACACGCGCCGTAGGATCCGTAGGGTCCGTAAGAGCATCTTTAAGGAAAGAAGAGAGCGGTAGCTTGTGAGCACAAGAAGAGCAATACTTAGAACTCATTATTTCTAGGCTCGTAAAACAGGTAGAATAAAAGAAAAGGGACGCGAATAGAAAAGAAACCGTACTTAGCTGTAGGAGAGCGAATAATAAGGCATAACGTATGAGACATACGGATATCTTAACATAAGTAAGAAGAAGAGCTACGGACGAACCCCTAAACCCCCTAGGCCTAGGGCGGGCCGTCGATGACCCGTGAGACCGCGCACGTGACAGTAACTTTTTAAACCACGTGACACAGACTGCGCAGTGAACCTCGCGTAGGGGGGTCTGAGTTTAAGAGGAAAGCAAGCTTCCCAATTATTAAAACTATTTATTTTATTTTATTTTATTAAGTCGCTAAAGCAAAAAAAAAAGATGCTCTCGGCAAGGCTCGAACTTGCGACCTTAGGATCACGTGATTGTTAACAACCTCGTCATATGCGAAGATATGAGACCTACGCTCTAGCCAACTGAGCCACGAAAGCACTTGATTTATTAGTTGTTACATTACGCATATTGATAGACTAATGGAGAATTTAAGATGTCATTACACCCTTAGTTTGGCAAGGGAGCGAAATAATCAACACTGGTAATTTCTAGACTTTTTTACAACTGTCGGAATCCGACCTTCTGATTACGTTGGGCTCAACGTCACTAAGACCAAAGAGACTGTTTATCGGTTAGTCACGATGGACCCTGTAGATCTAATATCCTCATCACAACCTCTTCTCCTACTCGCGTTTACCACTTCTTCTCGCCCAATATTTCAGTTTCTGTCGTCGTCAGCTTACCGCTACGTTTTTTTTTTCTCGCCATCATCTCCCTTTTCTCGTCACGCACCCTCCCACCGCCCATAACACAGTAGCAAAAACAGAGAATAAGCCAGCACACAGCACCTGCCTGTTCTAGAACCACCCCATTCTTGATAGTATATACTTCGTCGACTGTGACAATGTGGAACACCCCCACGCACCAAACAATTCCAGCTTACCTTCTTAGTTTTACACCCCATCTCCTCTAGCCGCCCCAGCCGCGCCCTGGCGGCTCAAAAAGGCACGCCGCCGCTCGGGTGCTTTGGTGATAGATCGGCAGTGGTTGAGGGGGGGCAATAATATAAAAACACAAAATGGCATTTTCACACTGCGGTGTCCTGAAGTGGTCGCCGAGATGTGATACCCATATGGAAATGGAGATTAAGATGGGAGGTTGGGCAGCGGTGTACGTGAATAGCCCTACGAGTAGTAGAAAGAGGGATTGGGAAGAGTGAGGTGAGGTGAGAATGAGATTGGGTGAGAATGAGTGAGAATGAAAGTGTTGTCAGCTTGATCACCTACCTTCCTCCACGCTGTGTTACCACAAAGCCCTCCCATCCAACGACACAGGGAACGTGGACATACTGGCGAAGAATATCACATTCACCTCCCTCTCATCATCCCCATCCCATCCCATCGCATCATCGAAAAATAAAAATAAAAACGCCAACTCCAACGGACTCTAATGCATATACGGAAAATCCACCAACGAAGAATACCATACCCTCCCTCCATCTCGTCATCCCTCTCGTCATCCCTATTGCTCATCCTATCCCTCCATCAAAAAGTAAAAATAAAATAAAAACCCAAACTCCAACGGACTCTGATGCATATACAGAAAACCCACCTCCCACCACCGCATCCGACCCTACTAGTGAAAAATACCATACCCTACCTCCATCTCGTCATCCCCATGCCATCCCATGCCATCCTCATCACCAAAAACCAAAAATAAATCAAATAAAAATCCAACTCCAACGGACTCTGACGCGAGTTCAGCTCTGACGCATATACCGAAAAAAAACCCACCTCCCACCAGCACCAACCACCACCACCCCATCCGATCCCCACCCACACCTACCGGCCCGAAAATCACCCATCCCATTCCCACCCACTATCCACCTCCACCACCAGCAGCGGGACTATCACCCCCCCATCCCCCCCCATCCCCACCCACAAAATTGACGCGCCCACCGCGCAACCCGCCCCTAACGCGCCGGTATCGGGGTTGCGCGCGCCTCGGCTCGGTACAACCACGGCGCCGAGTGGTCGTGGTGTGGTGGTGTGGTGGTTGTGTGGTAGGCACGTGAAGTCCTTGGTCAGCTCAGCGTCGAATCCCGCCCAGCCATCTCCATTGGGATTTGCTGGGGTAAAGGGTGACGGTGAGGCTCGGATTAGAAGATCGGATTAGAGAGCACACCTGATGGGAGATGGGCATGGACTGAGGCCGGGGTGATGGCGTCACGGCGGGAAAATGACGGATTGGGGAAGCACGCGGATGATTTGGTAAGCGGAGTGCGCCCTGTGGTTTACAGTGTTGCGTGTTGCGGTGGGAGAGGGGAGAGGGGAGAATGCGGGGCGTGATGGGGTTGGGGGGGTTGTGGCGTGGTTGCCTTGACCTCGACTGGGTACTGGATATTGGGTACTGGGTATGACTCTACAGCTTGGATGAAGGAGGGCTCGGTGAGAAAGAGGTACGCCATGTCCATCTCCATTTTTGGTAGCGGCGGCGGTGCGTTGGTGGCTCCGTGCTTACGTGCCGGCGGGTGGGCGGCTCGACTGGATTGGAGGGTAACTCGGATTGGAGTCGTACTCGCGTTTTCTTTCGGTTTTTCGGTTTTGGGTGTTGAGTCACCTTGGCGTGTGATCTGGTCCTGTCTGGTCTGGGGTCCGCATCTAAATGGCTCTCATTGGGGCTATTTGCTGGGACTGGGCGTACGCACTATTGCTATGAATGGAGTATTGGTATTCCTGGGACTGGGGCGTACTGCATACACTACGCACCTGCGGAGTATAGTATTTTATCGGCCGAGTATTTATTGGTATTTGCTATTGTTAGAGCCATCCCGGTCGGTCAGAAGTAGAGTGCCGAAGACAGACCGGGCTTGGTTTTGGTTGGGGACCATTGGGACCATTGGGGGACTATTTCCACACACCACGCGTGGCAGGGGTAAGGGCCATGAGGTTGGAGAGCACAAGGAGTGATCGGCCGAAAGCTTATATTTTAGTGGGTTGACATGGGCGTACGCGTTTTTTTTTTGGGGAGGATGAGGAGTGGGGAGGGAGAGAGTGACGTGACTGGGGATGGAAGAAGGAAGAAGGAAGAAGGAAGAAGGAGGAAGGGGGAAGGGGTATGAGTAATGGGGGATGAGGAGGGAGGATGGTGGTGCAGTGTTGTGTAGAGTACAGTATACAGTATACAGTATGGTAGTTGACGATCTCAGTAGAGGGACCGGTGTGAGAAGGAAGGAAGTATCAAGGCTGCCAGGTTGTTAGGCGAGTACTCCTGTCAGGCCATCAGGCTGTCAGAGCTGTCAGAGGAGGGTAGCTGTTAAAGGAAGGACGCAGCCTCGTGCGGTTCGTATATCGTTTCGTATATCGTACATACAGTACCACGGCAGTACACAGTACACAGTACATACGGACACGGCACAGTCAAACACACACGCCAATCAAACTACGGTCATCACTAATCCCAATCACTAATTCCCCCATAATCTGCAATCCGACAGCGCTGTGCCCGGCACCGGTACCGGGTCATCAATGCCCCCCATCTTCTAGCAATCCACTACCATCAGCCACCACATCCACTATCCGCACCACTATCATCCACCATCCCGCCCACCATCATCTCTCCCTGTCACCCCCCCTTCCCCCCATCAATTACTAACCCATCCCCATTGTACCCATTGTACCCATCACATTCCCCATCCCATTATATCCCCTGATATTCCAGGCTGACATCACACACTGCTACGAGTACGAGTAACTACGACTACTATCCTCACCGTCTGACTCATCTAGTAGTATGGTACTCTATTCAGTGATGTGATGGATATGTGTGGTACTCTATTCACTGGTGCATGTGGTACTACTGTATCTGCTACTCTATTAACCACACAGCCTCACATATTACTACTGTATGTACTATGCACCCAAACACCACAGCCACCACCACCACTACCACGACCACCTACCAAACCTTATATCCCAGGCCACCATCACCCTCGCACCAGCACCATATACCGTCGCCCATCACCCATCCATCTACCGTCCATCCTCTTCCTCTTCGCTGACTAATTCTCCACCACCTACCACCTACCACCTGCCTCGCACCTTCCACCTTCCTACCACGAGTCCCGTCCCACTCCTCCTCACTCCTCCTCACTCCTTCCACTCCACTATACTGAGCACTGGACGGAGTACAACAACAACTAATCCCCGACTAACTCCCTTCCCCTACTAGTACTACTAGTGGTACTAGTACTAGCATCACCCGGTACCGGTGCCCTCTTCTCTTTCTTCTGACAGCTTGGTTTGGCTTGGTTCCTTGGCTCTCTTGTTCCCTCTTTTACTATGTGCAATTTACTGTGAATTTACTGTGAATTTACTGTGATTACTCCATGTACTTACTACTGCATGTACTGTACTCTCCCCATATTTCATATCTGACATTCTCGGCTCTACCACAGCCTGGCCCGTGTTCGCTCCTGGGCATACCTTACTACTACATGTACACTAGACACACTGCCACAAGCCGCTGGGCACACGTTGTTTTCCCGCACCCTCCGTCCTTTCCTGTTCGCCAAATCTACGCCAACCCTACGCCAACCTACGCCAGTCTACACCAACTTTACACCACCACCCCTTCCACCCCCCAATTCCGGCCGATCTCTGTGCCAATGGGGAATCGGCGGCGCATGTTAGCCCCGTCATTGTCGTTGATTGTCGTTGATTGTCCCTGGTGTGATTGGGGCTGACCCATACCCGATCCATACTACATTCATCCCCGACCCATACCAGACCCATACCACACCCATGCAAGGGTTTAGGCCGTAGGGGACTTAGGGAAGGTGCTTGGGCGTTTTTGTCATCCGTGCCTTCCCCATCCATCAATCCCTCAAGGTGCGGTGCGTGTGCGTGCGTGTGCGGGTGCTGCTAGACGCGACTACCACCTTTTGTATCTATTCCATGTACTTACACACACAAACCCTTGGGGGAGGTGGTCGAAAAAGGGTCGAACCCAGATGCTCCCAAGATGGAAAGGGGAAAGGGGATTGGGAATGGTAGTGGTAGGGGAGAAGGGGGGGAGGGGGGGGGGAGGCGTCGGTCGGAGTTGGAGTCAGGGTGGGGGACCTTATAAAGGCAGAGAGAGAGTATCTATCTTGGTCCCCACTCCACTTCTGACTTGCGTTTTGACGTTGTTTCCCTCTCCTCTCCTCTCTCTCTCTCTCTCTTCCACTTCTATTTTTCTCCCCATCTCGCCCGCCGTGCTTTGTTTGCGGTTAACCACACTATGGAGTGAACTGTTTCGGCAATTCTCCACTTCGTCGCTTTAGCAGCAAACGCCGAGAAAACAGGGGAGTTGTTGCATTGGACTGGACTGGACCTGGACTGGAGACTCGCAACTCTGGGTTGAGGTGACTGGGTTAGCTCTGACGCCGGACGAAGAG